AACTAATTATTAATTATAACTAATTATTATTGTTATTATTAGTCTCTCGTATATATATATGTATATATATATATATATATATGTGTGTGTGTGTGTGTGTGTGTGTGTGTGTGTGTGTGTGCGTGCGTGCGTGCGTGCGTGCGTGCGTGCGTGCGTGCGTGCGTGCGTACGTGTGTGCGTGTGTGCGTGTGTGCGTGCGTGTGTGTGTACAGTTTATAATAGGGCGCTATTTTTCATGACACTAAATCTAACGCCAACTCATTATATTCTGTACAACCAAGAATTTAGCACAATCAAAATACCATTACTACGTGCTTTTGTAGCAGGCCTATAACGTGGAAACACATCTATGCAGCTCTAAACGGCTGCGCTTGAGGGTGAATTATTTTCGTGTATGGTTTATTTGCGTTTGCCTCTGCTTTACATCTTCTACAGGTGTGATACGTTGCCGATGCCACCTTCAAACCAATCGTGTAACATCCAGTGTTCTGTTGATTGTCAAATCTCAGGCTGGAGTCAGTGGTCCACCTGCGACCAGATATGTCCAACAGGTAAAAATACCACTCTATCCTTGAATAGCCTTACTAGACGGGATGGGCTAGACCAGTTTGTGTGTGTGTGTGTGTGTTTCACGCGTACACGCCAAATTGTTGATTTTGTGGCACTTCGTTAATAGGCAGTTTTTTCAGAACGTCCCTATATATCACATAGCAATATAGTAATAATGACTTCCAGCGCTACCTCACAGTCACTTCGAGCAGATATGTAATATTATAATTAGCATCGTCATATCATGCCAATCTTCATTATGGACGCCCCTTTATCATCTGTTGTGTTTAAATGGCATATTTTAATTAAATTTAAACACCAAATCGGAGTTCAAAATTATACTGGATTCGCTTGCGTAAATCAGTGTAAACCTGGTTTAAAATCGCGTAAATAGCATTTGCTGCCAAAGTATAAAATGTGATCAGTACTCAGTACGGTAGTTCATGTCTTCGAGGAATGTCATACACGTTCCCCATAATAATCAATTAATTAAATAAAATATTAATATTAATATAGTAATTCGACCATTACAGTAGCCACGTGGCCGTGATTACATCCTTTTGTCTTTACACTTCGCTTATAGAACGTCTGCAATTCCGAAGTAGAGGGAGGTATGTTATGCAGCCACTAATGTACAGCGGCAAGGCCTGCCCGTCTGCGCAACGAGAGGTCATACTCTGTCAGCCACAGTGCCATTCGTTTAGCTGGGTCTACAGTGAGTTTGGCGCCTGTTTGCTGCCAGCGGGTGTGACGTGTGGCGAGGGCATCAGGGGACGAGGCAAGTTGACATTTAATTTCCTCTTGCTCGGAGATGACAGCTGACGAATCGAATCAGATGAATTTATTTTTTTATTTAGCTTTTTTGTTTGTGTCAGCGCACCAACACCATGCGCGCGAGCGCGCGCGCGCACACACACACACACCACACACACACCACACACACGTGTGTGGCTGGGTGTCGTGGGTGGGTGCGTGGGTTGCCGTGGTGTACGTGGGTGTGTGTGTGTGTGTGGTGTGTGGTGTGGTGTGTGGGTGTGTGTGGGTGTGGGTGGCATGTGGTGTGTGTGTGTGGGTGTGTGTGTGGGTGCGTGTGTGGGTGTGGGCGGTGGTGTGGGTGTGGGTGTGGGTGGTGGGTGTGGGTGTGTGTGGGGGTGGTGTGTGGGGGTGTGGTGGGGGGCCGTGAGTGTGGGTGTGTGTGGGGGTGTGAGTGTGTGGTGGCGTGTGCGTGCCGAATATACGCGGCTTAGTTGGCGCGGAATATGATTCCGCGCTAAGCAAGCCGGAGCAATCGTGTAGCTAAGAAAGCCGTGGCTAAGCAAGCCGCGTATATTTTAGCGTGTGAACGCAACTTTTCTCCTCGTGTGAACGCAGCATATATATATGTATATATATGTATGTATATATAATTATATATATATATATATATATATATATAGCGCATCAAGAGCTAATAATACCTTATTAGGTATTATTAAACTTAAGGTATTATTAGCTCTTGATTGATAGCATACATAGCATAAAATATTATATTGTTATACGTGTACTACTGTGTGTACATTGTAATACTTTTAAATCTGCACTACTGTGTGTGTACAGTGTAATGCTTTTATACGTACACTGCTGTATATTTATACAATGTAACATGAGTACACGTACAGTGCTGTGCGTGTACAATGAAGGCGGTTAAGCGAGGGATCCATACTATGTAAGAACACGACCATACCGCGGATATAATTACGTTAGCGTTTGAACGCGCGCGAGCACATTGATTCTCATTACCTCCTAGCAGTACGCAACACGCGTGCCAACGTTCTTTTGATTTCGCGCGCTGCTTATTTTTAATACAGGTGCATGGTGCCTTGTACATATATTACGTTACGTGATAATGGCACGCGTTACTTCTTAGCAGCAACGTGTACCTACGCCCCGTGCGTTATTTCGATCTTATTTTTGAATAGGTACAGGTTGGCAGCTATTACACCACTGCGATGGCTCAATGGTTGAGTGCTCGCCTCGTATGTGGAAGGTCGGGGGTTCAACTCTCGGCCGAGTCATACCAAAGACTTGAAAAATGGTACACACGGCTTCTCTGCTTAGCATTCAGCTAATAGAGATAGAGTGTGGCAAGTTAACTCGAAGTGCTACCAGTGGACTAACCCCCTACTGGCATTTACTGTGAAAGCAGCTTCGGGGCCTCAGGGTTACTGAAACGGAGATAGGCACCGCCCTATGCGCCATGTAGCTATGCGCCATGCGTATGAAGGCGCAGGAAGGATTTAACAGGTTGGCAGTGTCGCACGTTATTTCTCGGCAGTTATACTCAAATGTATTACATGTTGCTTTCGAACTTTTTTTCTATTAGGTACAAGTGGTATGTGTCGTATTGGGGAGAGTGTAGGCCGCAGGCGTACTCAGGCACGTGTGGCAACGGCTCCCGCGAGAGAGAGCTCTACTGCTTACAAGACGGTAAGACTCATTAGCTGCGTTCAGACGAGACTCCGTATTTATGAAATTCGGTATTTGCAAGATACCAAATCGGAGACAAATACGCGACCGAGCGTTCACACGCTGTTTCGCGGCTCCAGAAACGCCGTATTTGCGAGCTGCGAGCTGCTTTAGTACACTGGAAAAAAACAATGCGTCCAAGCGAACAATGCGAAATAAACAATCAGTGAACAGCAACTGCCGATAAAATACGTAGACTGGTCCGGTCTCGACATACCGTTACGCGTTATGGGCGTTACGCGAGTGTAACTGTCGAGCGCGGACCAGCTAGTCTACGTATTTTATCGGCAGTTGGTGCGCATTGCATTGTTTAATTCTCATTGTTCGCTTGATTGTTCGCTTGGACGCATTGTTTTTTTTTCGTTGTACTAAAGCAGCTCGCATCTCGCAAATACGGCATTTCTGGAGCCGCGAATCAGCGTGTGAACGCACGGTCGCGTATTTGTCTCAGATTTGGTATCTTGCAAATACCGAATTTCATAAATACGGAGTCTCGTGTGAACGCAGCTAATAACATGCAGGTTAATCTAACTAACTAACAGGTTAATTCTAACAGGTTAATCTAAATTAACCATAATAGAGGTAATCATATTGATACTATAATTGATGAAATTTGATATGATAATTATATTGTTATTTACGTCCGTGGTGAGACTGGCGCACTGTTGCTGGGTGCGGCTCATACGACGGCGATCGCGCTTTGCCTCCTTGTTAAGCACAACACGATCGGTGCGGTTGCCCGTAGCGTTTTCGCTCTTATGATCAAAGCGCTGGACTTGAAAGATATCGCTGCGGTTACTACAAAGCCGTCGTAGCAGCAAGACTTCACAAGGCACTGGCGATTCCCAATAATCAAGCCTTAATATCTGCCACGGCATAAACCAACATGCAAATTTTACATCTCCGCGTCGAAACATCAACCACAAAGGGCAAGAGCATTTTATCGGGTAAAATTATGCGGGAAGGCAAATGAGTGCGTAGCGTATTTTATTATCTAGGCCGTTCATCTCGCCCGGTGTGATGTAAATATGGCTTCGGAGGTTGATATTATCCGGCTAATTAAAGGCTATGGGTAGTATGCCGATAAGGAATGGACTTATCTTGGAGAAGATAACCACGTAGCCCTGAAGGTTTGCGCAGATTTGTAGTCACAGTAGTTATTAACGGGACGCCTTTGAAGTCTGCTAGCTCTCTTCTGCTGTGTCATGCGACGCATGTCGGGTATGCTCACACAATACTATCAAGATTAAGATAATAGAGTACCCGATTGTGATTCTATTCGTATGTAGAGTGAACTTAATAGATTATCTTATATGTACATTACATGTGTGTGTGTGTGTGTGTGTGTGTGTGTGTGTGTGTGTGTGTGTGTGTGTGTGTGTGTGTGTGTGTGTGTGATGCACGCACTGGAACAGCTGGCGACGAGCGATCGCGTTCAATTATCGATTATCGCTTTTACGTCTGCGGCAGCGGCGGGAAAGGCGTTGACTCTAGATACACGAGATTCGAGGGCTTAGGCTAGCGCGTATAATTGGAGACCTGGTACCTGCGTCGACAGTTCCACACGCGTACCCTAGACGTCGTGCGAGCGATACGGGTACGAGTCGTAGACTAGTGGTGGCCCCGACCGACGTCCCGTGCTTTTCACGGCAGTGTGCATTTCAAAATTGGCAGGCGCACGCTCGGGCCCCCTAGTGCGCATTAAATAAAAACAGGGAATTACATTAGGGAATGTCACGTGGAACTTATCGTCTTAGTCTGAAATTCCGTGGGGCAACAGGAGCGTGACTGACTTAGCATAAAACAGCAGCGTTTGGCTGGTAAGCGAATGTCATCTGTAAGCATCGTGAACAATTGGTGGCATGCGTGAAAGCGGGAGCTAGCGAAAAACTATAATAAAACTGTAACATAGACCCTAATATCTCAATGACTCGACGCCCACGCATGCCACTGCTGCACAGGTAATGTTACTCGGGTGACGATGCCATCGCAAATTCCATTGGTTGATACAAAAAAAATTTTTCCACAGTGCCCTCTAAACATCTGCTCACATACGCCTGCAGTGTTGTCAATAGGCCATCCATAAGACAATAACCGCCCATTGCCATCGAAGCTGGAACGCCTAAGAGCCACAGACGACAACTGCCTGAAATTGTGTTGATACGAACCATCTGTTTTTAAGTTATTTCGGCTGTTTCTGTATTCTATGTTTTATCCATGATTACGATGATTAATTAGCAACAGTTTTTGAATAACTAACCAAATAATTTTTTTGCGTAATAGAGTTCGGGGTTAGGGTAGGGTCACAATGCACGCATAATAACAGGAGTTTGAGAGTACGTGATTTGTATCAACCAATGGATTGGAGCTAATCCCCAAGGCACAGCTGTATATTTCGCACATATGTTTGTCATTATACGCGTTCCTGTCACTATGCGCACAGGCGGAGTTAACGTTGTAAGGCATAGCAGATGCTGAGTATTGGTTCGGTACAGCGCCACGCACGCATCGTGTACTTACGCACGCATCTCACGACGCCACGTGTACGTGGCAGCACACACTCATGCACCGACATCGCAAAGGCGTCGGAAGCAATAAAATAGTGCCGTCGCGTTTGGTGATAGGGGCGTAGGCCACACGGGAGGCGGAAGGGCCACCCTAGGGGGGGGGGGGGGGTTCTGGGGGCATGCCCCTCGGTGAAAATTGACATCTACAAGGCAAATGGTGGGCTCTGTGCATTCTGAGCATTGTGATTTCAAGCAGCATAAAAAAGTTGTTTCGACTGTAGATTTAGATAAAGAATACATGATGATTTGAAAATTGCTTTTCTTAATGCATAGAATTAAAAATCAATAACTGACCAAAAACTCCAATTAACTTTTTCTCAAACTTAACAGTGAAAGATCTTGCGTAAAATTCCCTGAGACATACATTCCCATTCAAGACCCATGGCATACAAATGTACTGGTGCTCACAAACAACTGTTAATATCCGTCAATGATAACGCGCATGACCGCGAGCAAAGCATGCTCCGTCGAATATAACCGACCGCATGCTGCCTGCATAGAATCAGAGTAACACGTGAGTCCGAGAACGTCGTGCAGAGTCGGATTCATGAAATTTATAGCTAGCGGTGACTCAGGGCGGGTACCAGGATTGATCAGGGGGGTCTAACGCGAATTAAGAATACCCACTAACAAAGTATGTTCCTTGTGAATGTTTATTTTGGAATGTTCTTTAGGTTACACATATCAGTAACGTTTTCTAATAAAGCGTGTTTTAGAACAGTTCTCTGAACATTCTGAGGAACAGTTTACTGTACGCGAAGGGGGGTCTGCGGGGCCCTCCCCATAAAAAATTTGAAATTACACCCCCTCAGGATGCGTTTTTCTGCGAAAAGAGCAACGGGGGGGTCCGGACCGCCGCTGGAACCCACCCGCTTGTACACGCCCCTACCCTGACCTTCATCTGACGCCCTGGTCTCGTCTTATAGGAGCGTCTAGAATTAGCACGATATACATGAGTTATGTACCGCCAAAAGACCTAAATTAAATTATTTGAACAGATTTTGGTTATCTGAAAATTTTAGTGGCCTGAAAAAAGTGCCGCGCGGCGGTCAGCGCGGCTGCCGCGCTGCAGTTTGCTCGACGCGCGGCCCTTGCACTACATGGTACCTGCACACCGCGTGCGGTGGCACGCACGGGCGACGGCACGCTACGAACGTGTACCTGCACACGCGCGCACGACAAACGCGCGCACGCAAGCGCACCGTGTAAGTGCACACACACCGGCGCCCACTACGCATCGCAACGCAAGTGTAAGTTCACACGCACCACGCGACGCACTATGTACTTACGCACGCTCGCACGGCACCGCACGCATAGCACATGGTACATACGCGCAAGCGCTCCGCGCAACGGCCACGCAAGCGTGATACGGTGCCACAAGGAGACCCACACACGACCAGCACCACGACTGCCTAGCGTGCCACCCGGCACCGTTTAGTACAGCTGCACATGTCACGCACGCGCGCACGCCGCCCGCCGACGCACGCCGGTGACGTGCACGCGACACGCCCCGGCGCGCCACGTGACGCAGCCGTCACGCACGCACACGTTCACGTGCACCCAGCCCGCAATGGGAGAGCGGCACAGCACTTCCAGCGGCTGGCGGCGGCAGGCCGCGTCATGGAGGGAGCTAGAGGAGCAGACACCGGCGGCGGACGCGGCGGGGCTGTAGCAAAGCATTACGAGCTATGCAGGGGTCAGCGATACTGGGGTCAAGGCCTTTGAAGAGCGAGCGGCTTCGTGAGTCGGGGCGCGGGTGCCACGGTGGCTAACGATCGGGATTGGAGAGAGCGGAGCACCCCAATGGCGGGCGCCACAGTTGAACGCCCGGCGCACTCAGATGGTTTAATGTGGGACAGGACATTCGCGTCAGGTGACGGCGTGGGGTACACATGAGCGTGGTGGACCTACGGGTCCCAACGACTGTAATAAGCTTGTGCGGCGTCCACGCTCCAAAGGCCAACACCCAGCAAGCCAAGCCGTGCTCTCATCCTGGAAGCTCGCGAGCCGTGCGCGACTGCTGCTCTAGCTGCTAGCTGCTGCGGCTGTGCCGGAGGACCTGCAGTGAAACCATGTAGGGTGTAGCGGAGCTCGGTCAGAAGTCTTACCAGGATACGCAGTGGGGGGGGGTCGGCAGGACGATGATCACAGCGCTTTGCGCCCTTCGCTTCGCTGACGCAAGGATAGCACACGCGTCGGAGCCAGTCGGCTCGTCAGGGAAGCTCGCACCCCTCTCACTTGCTACGCGCACCGTCACGGCATGGCACGCACAGTGTACGTGCGCACGCAACGCAACGGGCAGCACGCACGGTGTACGTGCAACTACCATAAACAGTGCTTTACTATCCAGAACATCGTGGTCCCTTCAATGTTAAATGTCAAGCAGCACGCTTTGCTCTGCCAACCGACATCAAAATAACAAATATCACAGTGAGCTGATGCTATGACGTCACGTGAAAACATCGCTATAGGGCCTGCGCGATGGCGTGTGCATATGTTTGCCTAGTGAATTAGACCCGGCAAAGATTCGAGACTGTTCGCTTGGCAGCAATGATCCGTGCGCCGGCTTTCGATTTGGCGCAAGCGATAATAGCATGCCAGCGCGTGATACCTTGTAGAACGTTCCGCGCGGTCGCGTGCGCCTTTGGCCGCGAACTGCGCGCTAAGATCCGCTAGCGGGCAGGAATCAACGACCTCTCAAGGCGCCGCTTTCCTCTGGATCCGGTCTCTCATGCTGGGTCACAAGACAATCAATACGCGCTCAGCGTTGGTTGTAATGACAAGGGATCGCGGGGGATCTACCCAGAGAAGCTCTATTAGTACGATGAAGGTAGAAGCACGCACATCGTTAAGTTGCGAATTCAATTAGCGCAGCTTTCTAGCATCCGCGGCGGGAGGAGGAGGAAAAGAAAAAGCCTGGCATTGATTCTCCTGTAGCGCGTGACATTTGCTTTCCGACAACAGCTGTTGTTTTTATTAATATTTCATGCATGTCGTAAACAAATATTGAGAGGAAAAAGATTTCCTCGGTGAGTAATATCTTCGAAGTCATTCACCGCGAAATGCCATAAGTGCACTAGTCCCGACGTCAAGTCAACGCGCGTGGTCTGTATGTGTGTATGCCGAAATGCCGGCGCTGTGACAACGGTTGGCACATGGATGGTTGCGTTAGATATATATTGTGAAAGCTTTTCGGAGAAAAGGTCTTCTGAAAAACTTCGCTATTTCAGTTGCGTGAGTGAAATTTGCTCATATAGCAGATTTAACACGGCGTGATCTCTCGCCGACGAGACTTGCACGGCCGCAGTGGCGTGGTGGGGCATTCTGGCAATGTCATCGCGGAAGCCATTCCAACACTTTCTTCTAAAAATTGATATGACTCTTCGCATGCGGACGTCTACATCATGCAAACGACAATATCAACAACAAACAGGTCTACAGTTCTCGCATAAGCTATGCCATACGGACATACGTGTTTTTCTCATGTAATTAAAACATCGAAAACCAAATAAATAACAAAACAAAGTTAATACGTTTACCTACAATTATGTTTCTGTTGGTATTTTTCGCTAGACGGTGGGTTGAGGGTATCCGTCGTGTAGATATGAGCATTAATACAGAACACTCCTGTCCATATATCCCGGATATAATTATAAGATGGTAGTATTGCGATTCGTCTGCTTGTGAATGTCACGTGACCCCAAGCGACTTCCACCCGGTGTCGGTCTTGTTCATGAATGCTGCAGAAACTCCGCCAAATACATAAGCGCCCTCCTCTGCGATTGTTACCATGGGAACATCATCAGGTGAGCGGACGCAGCTGCAACTTGGCTCGTATTTAGTCGTCGCAACCGAGTAACACGTGTTCCATATCCATTACCTGTAGGTGACGCGCGTACTTGCCGGCGGTGGCAAGTCGTGCCCTCATCTAGAGGAGACGGAGCGTCTAGACAGCGTAGAAGTCAACACCTGCCACTCGAGGTATCTATGCTATATTTATGCTATATATATGGGTATTTCTAGGCTTTATATTTAGGGTATATCGAGGTACATCTAAGCTATATTTATATCTGGGTATTTCTAAGCTTTATTATTTAGGCTATATTTAGGTACATCCAGGCTATAATTATGCTATAGACCCTATGTAGGTATTTATAGGCTTTATATTTATAGGCTTTTATATTTAGGCTATATCTAGGTATATATCTAGGCTACATTTACGTTATATCTAGGTATATATAAGCTTATTTTAGTCATATATATCAGGATATATATATATATATATTTACTTTTTCCATTTATTCATTTATAAATGGATTGATTGATTGATTGATTGATTGATTGATTGGTTCACTTACTTCCTTGCTAATTAATTAATTATTTAATTAATTAATTAACTTATCTATTTATTTATTTATAATCGTAACCCATATATTCGTATTTACACTCTCTTCTGATATTATTCTGATATTATTCTATTAATAGCATGCATAGGCACGCTTTTTACCACTTAACGCGCATCACTGTTTTGAAAGAAATGTACCTGTAATAAATTCATACCCGTCAAGTGCTCGCAATGGCAAAGTTTCTTTTTAACTAAAAACACTAGCATATTTCTCTGTTAATATAATGTCATGAATATGGATTACCAAACCCTTTGTCATACATTTTATAGGCACTCTGTGTCTGTGTTAATTAAACAGCCACTGATAGCAGCTAACACTAGCTATTACCGCGCTCTACAAAACATTCTGAAACCAATATAGTCAATTCTACTATGGCTGCGCGCGTGCCATATTGGTGACATATTGGGTGCAATAGCAGCTAGGGGAAAAGCACAAAACAATTTTATAATCAATGTACCACGTATGAATAAGAATCTTTCCAGTACGCGGTAGTAAAACGTACGTGAGTGCGTGTGTGTGTACTCTTGTGTCAAATATAAATTATAATGGAATTATAACTATAGACCTATATTTTATTTATATATGACGTTCATTTGTTTCCATTATTAGTCCTATAAAGTTGCGTGGATCATTTTGAGATAAAATACTTCACAACCAAATTTGCTTATTTTGGCGATTTCTATCTGGTCATTGCGGGTTTCCATTTAGTCTTCCATTTAATTACTATTTTTTTTATTCTAATAAGGTGTTATTCATTTTTGATTATGCGGCTGTTTGTTTCTTCCCCCAACATTCGCGGGTGATCACACCGCAACGACGCGATGGTAACCAAACTTAGGCAAGGTCGTCGGTGTGTCATTCACTACCTGATAGAGAAAATCAATAATACACGGTCGTATCCTGTGACATCGAAGCCTTTCAGTTTGTTTTGGTTGTAAAGGTAATTAGTAATCTTCGACGTGTGACAAGGTAAAATCGCAAGTCATCCTCAGCCTTTAGGTTGATCCTATTAAACTGGAAACTCGAAACGCTACCAGACGAGTGTATAGACGAGACAAGATTAACGTGACTTCGGAGTTACGCTGAAGTACAGATTCACAGTAGATCATATAGCATGTACGCCATTATAGGGAACGAACCTTTATAATTAGTCGTTGAAATGGCAAGAAGAGGGAAAAATAAGAAGGCAATGAAGAAGAAGAAAAAGAAGAAGAAGACGACGAAAAAGAAAACGAATATCGTTGCTAGCACTGCTGGCATATATCGCTATATAATAGGGGATTGGCAGCGCTGTCAATATGCCTATATTGATAAGCTTCGCAAAAGTCCTAACATTAGATACATGCGTAATAAGAGTCAGTGATTTTCGGTAGGGTCGTTAGACAGCGAACGGCCGACTGTGCTGCGGTTCACTCCTTTGGGGATGTCTGTAGTTAGAACTTGTTATGGCTGAATCTGTCGTTAGAACGTAATGTCTATTTAAATGGCATTATCTACCGGACGTGATACGTTAATGCTGACTATATCAAGACATCGTCAACTCATTAAGGATACTCTCCACCTTTTGCACGGGTATTGCTCTAATGAATTTTAAACGTTTATTGGCGAATGAATCGAATCATTCACTTGTTTTATTTGTAGAGGAAATATATTTCTATGCTCAAGCCAAAAAATTTCGTGAAATTTCCAGCACCTAATTATGTTACCACACAAATTTTGAATTTTTATGTAAAAATGGAATTTTGGATATTTCTCAACTACCAGAAAAAGTGAAGATACACAATTTTTGCCACATGTTAAGCACAATATGGACCAAAATAGAGCGTCAGGATTTTTCTTTAAGTTTCAATATTTACCGAGAAAAATTGAAAAAACTGCTTAAAAATCAAGTTGTGTGTTAGAATTGAAAATTTTAGCGAATAAAAAGGCATAACTAATAAAATACGGCACTTAATAACAATTCCTGACGCACTTTTTTACAGCAATATGTTACCATTAAAACGAGTGTAAAATTAAATTAATCCGAGTTGTAATCACAGAGAAAATCCATTTATACATCGGCTTCTATGTCAGAAATCGAAACGGAGAAATCAGCGTTTTTCTATTTTTCACAATGATTGACCGCCTGTGTGCAAAATGGGTGAACGTATGTGAAATATCTACTGTTAGTACTTACTACCCGTGGACTCCACTACCGGATTCAACTGATTCGAATTCTTTGCTCTGTCACGTTATACACCCCCCTCGGTGGCACGTATTGTAGATTTAATCCTGGGTTTTACAACGCGTGAGTGCCTGTCTTGTTCGTCTCCATCAATCGCTATATCTGTATAGCGCTTACTGTCCGCCACGCATCCTCACTCTCCTATCTACCGTCACACGTAGCCGTCACCGTCACCGTAACGGCACAATGCCTCAGTGACAGCTGCCAAGCATTTGGTATTATATATATTTCGCGGCTGAATATGCAGTCGGCCGCATCAGAACGTGTGAATGCAAATTCTAACGTGCGAGCTCTCATAGTCGGTAATGCATATAGTATGTGTGTATATGTCAGGCCATGCACACATTCGTCGCTTCTGCTGTATATGTGTGCACCGCGTACGTAATATAGTATATATGATAGTATGTGACACTGATACTGTATATATTTACAATGTAATACAGTAAACCCCCGCGTATAAGAACCTATAGTGATTAAGAACCTGTTAGGCTAAGATTTTCCATTTCGACCCCCTTGACAAAAAAACCTGTTTTAGCCTAAAATTTGAAACAAGTTATTATTTGATAAAATTTAGTTAACACATAAAAAAAAAATGTCATAAAAATAAAAAAATCACATAAAATTCATAAATCAACTAAAACAAGCTCTATCAGGCAATGAAAATGAGCCAAATCCCTTGCAATTCCACTTCAGTTATAGTATATTATTACTACAGTATTATATACTGTATACGTTAATATAAATTCAAATTAATATAATATAATAATACATAATATAATGTACAAAAATACGGTACAGTGCAGTTTCACGTCCTAGCTGGTACCATACCTCGTGACTGAGGAACCTGGCCAGGCATTATGCTTGTGGTGTTTTAAAACAATCTAGTTTTGTTTTGTTGATGTTTATTAGGTATAAATTAAAAGGCATAAAAAAATAAGACAACCTAGAATAGAGTTTGTATATTTGTCTAGATTGCAGTCATTTAGACATAATTATATGCATATATATTTTATATAAACAATGGACCGCACCAATATTTTACAAGCAACAAGCACCTTTTTTTCGGAAGAAAATAAAAACCTATTTAAGAACCTAAGTAGCCTAATTTCCCAGTAAACACCAACTATTGCTGCGTTCACACGTATACACGGCTTAGCTGGTACCGTACTTAGTTGGTGCTAAGTCCGGTTAAAATGCGTTCACACACACACAACACACACACACACACACCACACACACACACACAGCACACACACACACACACACACACACAAACACACACACACACACAACACACACACAACACACACCACACACACAAAACACACACACACCACACAACCACACACACACACACACACACACACACACATACACACAGCACGCGCACGCACACGCACGCACACGCACGCACACACACATACATACACAAACACACGCACGCACACACCACACACGCACACACACACACAACACACACACACACACACACACACACACACATCCTGTTAACGAGTTCAACACACACACACACACACACACACACACACACACACACACACACACACACACACACACACACACACACACACATACCGTCGTACGTAGAGTTATTGTATATATGACTGCAGCACAGCACAGTACGTACGTTAATGACATTCGCACAGCCTGTATCACATTATATCATTGTAATAATGATGATCACGAACCAGAGAGCGCAATAGATGATGTTTGATACCACCGTCTACACAGCAGACAGCACAGCAAAGCACGTATGACAACAACGTTCACATGGCAGACACCACAACCGAGTACGTGTGCCTGCATAGTCCGCACTGCAGGTAGCACAACAACGCAAGTATGATAATTATGTCGTTCACACATCAGACAGTGTGGCATAGCGTGTGTAGTAATGATAATCACTCAACAAGGAGCACATTGTAGCACGAGTAGCCGTTGTAATAACACGGCAGGCAGCACAGTAAAGCAGGAGTAGTAAACGACGTCTGTGCAACGGGCTGCACAGCGCGAAAGCTGTAACCTTAACATTTTCTCGCGTCGCTGACACGCGAACTTTTTAAAAAGAAATCCCGCTGCCATTGTGTTCTTAACGTAATGATGCGCCGCGGTTACTGTGAGAAAAGGCGCTAATTGCAATGGCTGCTGCATAGCATGAAGAACACTCCCCGCGTACAGGCCTGGCGTGGCCATGACACCGCGTCAGTACACATGCTGCTCTTGTTACACGCTATAATTCTGTTTGAGTTTTTCGACATTTATGTAGTTCGAGTCGTGGTGGCGTTTTTTATGTGATATGTTTGAAATCGCTGTCGGACTATTGACGTTTGATGCGGATCCATTGCTAATTGCGCGAACTCATTTTTGCCGCGGTTTCCACGCGATGAAATTATATGCTCACGTACGAAACATAAAGGAATAATAAAAAACGGACAAAAATGGTCTGCATGCGAGAGTTTTTCTAATGCTGGGAAGAAAACTCGTTAGCGTGAATGTGCTCGCGTGTGCTTTCTAACGACGTGATTCGTTTCAAAAGTGAATGCATGGGCTGTCTGTAAAAACAGCAAGGCTATAGAAGCATCATCGTCTGGTTGCGTGAGTGTGCATTCATTGAACATACGCGTTTGTCGCGAGTGGCGAGGCTCGGTACACATTTTCAACTCGATCGATACGTGTATCAATTATGTTTATCAAACAGAAGTTCTATTCCTTCGCGCCAAACTGCGTGCTATTGATACCCCGAAGCGGACAACTGGTAATTATGCTTTGCGTGGACACGGCCACAAATGGTGCGGTTATTGGCGAACGCTGTGTGTGTGTGTGTGTGTGGGAAATCGCTGAAGTTTTAGTAAATTTTCTACTCGTGTTTCTATCTTGGATTAATTTGGACATTGCGTAGTTTTATTGGGGGATGTGTAAAGCATAAAAGTGTGCTTTATGATGCTTTATGGTTGATGCAGAGCAACTATGTCATAGTATACACGCCTATAAGCAAGACACCCGTGTTATCTATAATTGGCGGGGTTATGTAGGTATGTAAGTATATGTGCCTATGCGCTCGGGTGCGTGTATTTTGCTTTTAATTTAATATTATTTTATTAATTTGCACAAATTAATAGGATAGGCGCGTAGCATTTAAAATAAAATGAACAATAATTTTATGCCTAAAGGCGAAAGCCTCTCTTACATAATGCCGTATACAACTGACGGAAGAGATCGAAGAAAGGTAATCAGACGGAGAACTACATGTGCTTCCTGTAACACATGTGATCACACCTCAAGGCGCAGCAGTCGCGCAGTGTACACACGAGAACTAAAGACTTCTCGCAGCCCGCGGCTACGTATTCAGAATATAACATGCCTGATGTATCGCTCACGTTTGGGAGCATTCAGCCATTTTATTGGTCAGACCGCCCCGAGACAGCGTTGAGAAATATATTGAAGTTAATTGGTTATTAAACAGCCACCTTCATGAAGTACTTATCGCAGGCTAAAAAACGCTTTATCGATTCTGCAGCACGTACCTAGGCATTACGCCTACGCATTAGGCACTAGACCTATAGCACCTACGAGAGACTGTCACAATACACACGCGCGCACGCACGCACGCACGCACGCACGCACGCATGCACGCACGCCCACACGCACGCACACACACTCACACGCATAATACATATATATATCAAGAGCATATAAAGAAGGAGAGCGTACAACGGTAAAATGCTGAAACCATGTTGCAGTATTAGTCGAATTAATAAACTTTTCCCGTTTTATTTTGACGATTCTTTGCAGTATTATTGATCAGCTGTCCTACCTTGTTCATATAAAACAAACCGCATGTCCATACGATGCCCCTACGCTGAGATAATGAGCGGTGAAAATCTGGTATTTTCGCCGGAAACTGTCTCGAGATCAGTCAGTTACTGTGACTGTCTCTCGAAGTGTTATAACTTCGGTAAACCTCGCGTGTTTCCGTTAATGATTGACAAATGGAATGAATGACGTCTGTTATTGATTGCCATAATGATGACCCCCACCTGTGCCCACCTCACGCCCACCTCAGGCTGGATGTATAAGTCGCGTTCACACGGTCATGGATTGGCTCGAGCCAAATGGACTCGATTTGGCTCGGGCCAAATTTGACTCGGGCCGGTTTGAGTCGGAGCGTTCACACGTACGCAAGTGAATACTGTCTTACAAATTCAAATTCAAATTCAAATAAATTTTATTGCACAAATATCTCACAGATACTTTGACAGTATGTCGCGAGATGGCGTTGTTTACGATTCAGTGTTTACTTACGTTCCGAGTTTAATTATCAATTTTGAAAACGTGCATCCTGATCAAATTTTTCGAATTTTTATACTGTTTTGGACTTTATTTCGTCGAAGTACACGTTCGACACTCGCGGCATCTACCGCTCAATCGATTCTACCGCTCTACCGCTCGCCGAAAGCTGGTGCAAAAATTTGGCTCGGGCCTGGTCCGACGTTTTCGATAAGACCAAATCTGGTACGGGCATAATTAGGCTCGGGCCAAAAACGTCCGTGTGAACGCTCGGCTCGAGCCAAATCTGGCGCGGGCCTAATTAGGCTCGGGCCAAAAACGTCCGTGTGAACGCTCGGCTCGAGCCAAATCTGGCGCGGGCCTAATTAGGCTCGGGCCAAAAACGTTCGTGTGAACGCGCCTTAAGATATCTCACGCACGCGATACGCGATAGAAATTACATCTTCTAAGCATTAATTAAAGTTTTATTTGCTTGTGTGACATAATTTCGTCACAGGACAGACTGTAGCACCTGATGGCTACCTGTTCTCGGAGACAATTGTTAGATAACGCGCGAACAGATGCGTCATTTGAGCGACATTTGACAGTTTACCTATGAGCAGGGAGATTGCTATTGCGACGCCGAGTATCGTTGATGTCTCTTGCACGTCCGTGCCAAGCCGCTCCATGATGTCAAGCATAAAGATGCCGTACGCCTTCTGCTGTCCCCACGTGAGGCCGAGGATGGTGCCCGAGGC